CTTTAAGGTGAATGGGTGCCACCTTAGGATCAAGATTTAAAGAAAGAGGGGTGCCAGTGTAACACCCTAAGGCTGGGTCAAATACGTCAACAAATTCGGAGACTAAGAATTCAAAATCATATGCCAATTGAGTTGAATGAATGCCTGAGATGGACAGACCTAGGGCCTTGAACCAGTCGAGCCCCAGTAAAGAGGCTAGGGGGTTCTGCACAATTATAAGAGGCAGGAGCCCCTTGAATTTGCCATACTGAATTAGAAAACGGCCACATCCCACAAGTAGAATGGGGTTTCCCTGATAGTCCCTCAAACGACAGGTGGAGGGTGCCAGCTGGTGCTGGTGGAGATGCGGCAGAAGGGAGTGCATGATATCCCATGACATGATGGACCTTGCTGAACCCATGTCCAGTTCCACTGAGCAGGGCTGGCCTTCAACCAAGATCAGGAGGTGTAGCTTACCACGACCTCCCATAGAAGTTGAGGCAGAGTCAATGACCCACTCGGGGCTGGCATCATCAGCATCCCCAATGGTGAAGCAATTTTGATGCCTGGCAGAGGCTGGTGCAGCGGGGCGTTGTACTGACGCGGCTAGGTCAGGTCCCCGAGGATCAGGAAACCCAGAACTGCAGACGGCCGCTATGTGGCCTTAATTCAGAACCTGCAGGTGGAACGTAAGTGCCTTCCCCCGCAGCTGAGGCAGCTTCTTCCATCTTTGTGAGAGAGTAATTTAAGGTGGTCTATGGTCAGGTCTAACTCAGATTTGTAGTCATCAGAGTCTTGTTCATGGTGAACAGATGAGGCAGGAAATGGCGTAGCAGGTGTCTGAGGAAACCTGCGGAGGTCGGGGATGGACTGGTCAGCCGTTTCGGAGGCACGAGCTTTGTCCACAGCAATCTTTAAACTCAGTTCCGACCGGGAGAGAATCCGCTGGTGGAGATTTATGTCCTTGAGACTATAAATGAATTGTTCAAGCAGCGCCTCATGCAAATCAGCGAACTCGCAATGGATGGCAGCGGCTCTGAGAGCTGCTATGTAGTGGCTGATGGACTCCCCCTCAGCCTGAATACATTGACGGAAAAATTGTCGGTGAGCGAAACGGGAAGGTGTACGCTCGTTTTTAGCGTTGTGAGAAGCAGATCCCAGGGCATAATGTGGACAGGCGTAGGCAAGGATAGCACCCGAGCTGTGGCAAACATCTCGGGGCCACAGTAATTTAGGAAAAAAAAACGTTTCCTGACAAGGGAGAGCTCGGTGAGGTCGTGAGCCTGAAGAAAACATTCAAAGCGTTCACGGAACGTGTCCCAGGATTCTGCCTCAGGGTGAAAAGTGGTGAAAATCATGGTGGTAACCATAGCCGGCACTTGATTCGGGTCCATTTCACATGCCCTCGTCACCAGTTTTATGTTCTTAGTAGCGAGTAATAAGTGAGAAGACAGAGGATTCAACTAACTGTTTATTAACACTCAACTGCAAACTAGTAGAACAGAACAGAGAACAAACCCCGCCTGACAGCTATTTATACTTGGAGCTGTCAGGCAGAGGACCAATGGGAGGGTTGGTTTTTTCCCGCCGGCCGGCCGGCGCACCTGAACCAATTAGGGCTTCTTCCTGGTTCTTTGGCAGTTGCCAGTCGACTCTCCAAGGACACAACAGATTTGGTATTGAATGCACCTCACATGTGCACGGAGGGGAAACCTTTTAGCACCACAATAAGGTCCTCTTAAACGGAGATCAGGGATAGCGGATCAGACAAGACGCCTCCAAGATTCCTTCACACTCCTTTTCCCCTTGGTTTTCAAATGCACTGCCTGTACATATTCAGCAATTATGTCTTCAGTGACCATGAAAGCCCAGATTTGTAGGAATTGAAATTCTACACACACCTCAATAAACTCTGAAATGACACTTGAAGGAAGAAGTGAGAGACAGAAAAACATGTAGCCTGCAGCCTGAAGTAAGAGAATGTGTGGATTTAGAAAGCGCTTGGCTACAAGTGCTTTCTAAAATAAAATCTGCCCATTGTGTGGAATGTGTGTCCCTGTGTCTGTGTGTGTGAGAGAGAAAGGGGGGAAATTATTTCATAAGAGAGGAGCAATGATAATTCAATGTGGGCAGAAAAATCTATCCTGGCTCCATAAATCAGGAAGTGCAGAGAAAACTCAATTAACCAGCAGTCTCACCACCAAGGGGATTTATTTTAACCCCCATTCCTTGATCTTTCTACAGCACAGGCACACAAGACTTCATGAATTTTTAAACTATTTTTTCAATCACCAAGGTATGCAAAAGAGAGAGAATGTGATAATATGAATGAAAGAGATTATGCTTGCATTTCACCCCATTTTATGATTTCCTGAGGAAAGTTTTTTTTAAAATTAAAATAGATGCATATTTATTATTATTATGTGATTAATCTTTGGTGAGATTCACAGCCTTTGGGGCTGGTTGGTAGCTCAACAGCTTGAGTCCTAACCAAGGACCTAGGAAATGTTAAGGTAACGTTGGATATAAGCTGTTCCAGGTAGGGTGGTTTTTTTGTAGAATCAGAATGTTCAAGTCTGATAAATTTAAAATTTCCAAATAGCCAGGTATTGCTCCAAGGACTCCAATTACAATCG